CTTTTTCTCTTGCCTTGCCATCTCACATAGAAATTATTCTCATCTCTTTGCAGGTCTTCTGTACCTTAGCACAGGTAACAGGGCTGGTACTGATGAATACATTACAAGCTTTTCCAATTCTCATAAATTAAATCAGAATATTTACTAATGATCAAAGTTAATTCTTTCTTTTCTATGCCTGAACCTAAAGCACAGTGCAATTTTTGCTTTGATTTGTACTGAACATTTTGCTGACCATATCAATATCAACAAATTAACCCCAGACTACGTGGAACAGAGCTTGGCTCCTAGAATGTGCCTGTGAGATTTCAGGGGCTGAGCACCACTCTGCATCACTCCTCCAGGAGGTACTAACCACTGACTCCTCTGGAGCCTGGGGATGGCCAAGACGAGTCACAAACATGGCTAGATTTGGTTTTGACAAGTACTGAAGCATAACTAAAGTTATAATAATAAAACCATGGCAATAAGATGATACATGCTGATGGAACTCTGGTGAAAATTTCAATGAGTGACCTGCAAGATCAATAAAAATTAAGCTCTTAACATAGTCAATAAAATGGTTCGGAAGTACTTCAGAAATTAATATATGAAGCAGAAAAACTTACAAATAACTAAGGCAATTTCTGTGGAGCTTTGCCCAAACTGGCATTTATTCCATTACACCATCCCATTCTAACAGTCCCTTGTTTAGGTACCTATGGCAACCAATGAAAACCCAACAAAAAATACCTTTTTCACTCTAGAACCCTAGCTTCTTGATTACAAAGAAGTAAAGCTAAGACTTTGGGTAATTAAAGGTGACTGGTCAGAGAAGAAAACACAAACAGTACCTAGGATCAGTGTAATGTGACAGTCCCAGATGCAAAAGGGCAAGGTCTGTCACACCAGCACTGTCCCATTGTGGAATTAACATCCACAGTAATAAGCAAAACAACAGGGGTCTTAAAAACTCTACAGCAAAAAATACAGATTTTTATTTTTTTCCATTTAACCCAAGCAAAAATATTTGGGTGTAATTGCATGATGGGAGAAAGAGCACCCTTTGAAGTTTAAGTGTTACCTGTGTACTTAGAAAATGTTTTCTAAGATAGGTCATTTTTCTTCCAAATGTGACTGATCTGTTCCACGTGAATGCAAATTCTCATTTCTGCTTTGTTATTTGTCAAGAAAATTGCAATCAATATTATTTTAATCCATCTCATATACAGTGTTGAACTTTTTATTTGTCTCAATGAATAAATAATGTGAACTAAGATTCAGTGTTTTCTGAGTAACTAAAAAAAAAAAAAAAGCTGGATTCTCCTTTTCACTTTTAAGCTTTGAGTTATAGACCATCTCATTGCCTGAAAGAAACTGAAATTCTTAAATTATAAACAGTGAATTATCTTCTTGTTTTTGTTATTAAAACAAAAAAGTAGATATGTTTGGGAGGCAATAAAAATTTAATATAATCAGTAAAAATTTTCATTTGTATTTTCTTTGTTTTTTGTTTTTTTTTTTTTTTTTCTCGCTTTTGGCTTTTAAATTAACATTTCCTGGACTTGATTGCATTAATTTAGTTTTAGGAAAGATTGCCATGTTGGATATACATATGAACCAAACATTTACATTAACACTAACTACAGTCATCAGAAGTTATGGGAAATTTGTGTGTACCTACTGATAGAGATAGTAAATTCCCATAATCCCAAAATCCTTAAATGTACATAACAAAGGTAATTTTCTTAATGTTTTGGAAGAATATAAATAAATGTCCTGTTATGATCCATATTTCTGCACTGAGACTGACATTCCTCTTTTGAAGAGTTTTAGCATCTGTAACAAGTAATATTTATAACATGTCAAAAGTAGGTCTTGAGAAAATCAAGCTGACATTTAGAGAGCTCCATTTGGTGCAACTCAAATTTACTGCAGCTGCAGTATAAATAATCTGAGCACTGCCAAAGATGAGCTACTTATGTCTGTATACACACAGAACAATTTAAACTTCTCCACATTTAATTTCAAATAAAGGACAGTTTTACGGCTGATAAGTGCAATACACAGGATCTCAAGCATGACAAAACCATGAAATCTGAAGGAATTTCCATCACAAAGAGCCTAAGAACACATCAATTTTTTCAAAACTGCTTCACAGCCCCCTCCACTAAATCCAGCTGTAATATAGAAATTTGGTGCAATTCCTCCTTAATTACATTGAATGCCACTTGCAGATAAAATTTGTAGAAACTTAGAGAGTCGATGCTTTCTGCAGCTCTTTATATTTTGGATAGTGCTGGATAGAGGGGGATGGGGGAATACAGGCAAAGGAAGGACTGGAATTTTAGGACAAATTCTTGCTATAGTAAACACCTCTGTGCTAGCTTTTCCCCAGGTACTGCACAGCAGCTAAGCCACAGATGCTGAGCCTCCTCTGTGGGTTTGGAAGGGTTACAGCCAGCACTGGCACCCTCTCAGGGATAGCATGGGAGCCACATCACTCACAGGACTACAAATTTCATCCCTCAGTTTTGGCTCAGTGGGATGGAGGAAAATGAGACATTCAGGACAGATAGGCCAAGGCAGTACTGGAAGATTTGACAGTTGGGGCACACTGGATTAAAGGAGGGATCTTTTCTTAAATTGTCCCCTTGAGGTCACTTTTTTACTATCTCAAAGTCAGTTTTTACAAGAAGTTTATGGACCATGGGCTTTAGGGGGACATTTATGCCACTGCAAGCTCAGTATAAGGGAAAAAACAGTGGCCTGATTTTTTTAAAAAATGGCATTGCTTACATTCGTGCTTGCTTTATCCACATTTCAGTGATGTCTATGGTAAACTGGAAAAGCAATAGAATAATGGTGGAAATAAAATCAGAGAACTTGGCTGACAAACATTTTTTCAGATGTTGTTTCTCATCATAAAAATCAAGTTCCTATTTCCAGTCTTAGAAATTTTATAATTCTTATCATTTTATAAGTCACAGCTTCTAATTTGTCCCTCTTCCTTTTTTTTTCCTTTTGCAAAATTGTCCTAGAGTGACTTTATGATGCTTGTATCCCCAATCCTCTGTTCTGTTTGTGTGCTGGATGTTAAGTTCTGCCAATCTAAGACTGGTTCCAAGAGTGAAGTGGGGGAGAAGGGAAAGTGGTGGAATTTTCGTGGCTCTCTTCACAAACAGAGATAAGAGCTCAGTGTGTTGCTTGCAGCAAAGGAGTTTGCTTTTAGTTAGTTGCCTTTAGTTAGCTGAGGCCAGAAATTTTTTTGGATCTGTTCAGCTATTGTTTGGTCTGGGAACACCAGGACTATTGTCCAGGGCACCCAAGCTGCACTGCAGCCAGGACCAGAGCCCCTAGAGACTGAGAGAAGGCCAAGCACACACCCATGAAAAGGACTCTGAACTACACGAGAATTTCTGAATTCACCATTTCTTCAGAACTACGAGAGGTTCTGTTGTATAATATTATTCATTTTCTCATGTTTGTGAGTACTTTTCTTGTTAAATAAATAGTTTTTTCAATTTCTCTAGAAGGAGATTTGTGTCTTTTGAGTCGATTTGGGGAGGGGTAGCTTGAATTTGCTGTATATAAGAGACCACTTCAAAAGTTTCCTTCCAAATTTACCCTAAACCAGGACAACTCTTAAATTCATACAGTTGCCTTATCATTTTAATGACATATTAATAACATCCAGATTGCTGTAACATATTGAGGTTCATTGATAATTATTCTGAATATTTAAAGAAATAATGGATATGCTTGAAAGTGTTCCAGAATTTAAAAAAAAAAACGAAAAAAAAAAATAGGCATGTGTTGATGTTTAATAGAATTTTTGCTGAAATCTGTAATTTTTAATTAACTCCCTTTGAAATCTTTGCGTCATCTCATGAAGGTACAGAAATTCTATGTTAGATTTAGGAGACTAATCATGCAATCAAAGAACAATTCAATCCATATTCAGTGTGATCTCTACAGAAACAGAGTCAGACTTTAAAGTGTTCATTACGACCTTTTCATTAACATTTTTACTGTTCAAGAAAAATTACTCACTCACCCAGGAACATCACTGATTTTGCAAGTGTGATCACTCAAAACTAAGCCACTCAAAACTTGTAAATTTATAGCTGAAGCTACAATTAAGAGTAACTTCTGATAGATTTAGGGAATTATATGAAATTACATTACACAAATGCCCTTAACCTCGTCCTGCAGATATGATATTTAATAATTGCATTTAAATACATTATCTTATTAGGATCAGTTGGATTTTTTAAAAACTTATTTCTTCTTTTTTTGCATCCTAGAGAGAAAAGATAAAGTTGCTGAAGTTCCATGCCTATGTGTTCCTTCTGCTGGCTCAGAACAACAGCTGCAATACCTGTGCAGCTAGGACATAAACCAGTATATCTGTCAGTCAGGGAGATATATAAATGATTTAAATTGCATATGCAATCAAATGTGCTTACAAAGTGGAGGTCAAAAAAACCACCACAGACAGCAAAAAAAAAAATCTATCCCTTCTGGCAGATCTGACATAACCCTGCTATCTCATGTCATATCAATATTATCACTAGTGCAATTGTTCTGAAGGGCCAGTCTTGACTGACACCATTGGGGAAGTCAGAATCAGGCCCAGAGATGTTTGGATCACCAGATGGATTCCACAAGTGTCATGGCCTTCCCAGTCTCATTCACAAAATCATTTGTTGCACCCACTGCCAATGGAAGTGTCCTTGCCCAATAAGCTTCACTCTTCATGCCAGGTTTTTCAAGAGCAACAAATCATCCAGCATCAAGCCATGGCTGATATGCCATGGTCTGTCCCTTAATTTTATGATTTCTCACAATGAAGCCAAGGCATGGAACTTGAGGGAAAAATTTAATGCAGCTCCTCTGTTCTAAGCACTGTCTTAGAGGACAGTACTGTCTTAGAGGAGGGTATCACAGCCAACATAAACTTACCAGCACAAATGCAAAGTCTGCACCTGACTGAACTAGCACAGAAACACTTTGATTACCTGCTAGAGATCAGCTGAGGATGGTTATGTGCTGATAGTGCAGATCATCTCTTCAGCCTGGGAAAGAAGAACAATTCAGGGTCTGAACAGGCTCCATGGCTTCAAGGCTGATCCTGTACTGCTTGGTCCATCAGATTTCCTCCTCTTCTGAGAGGGATGGAGATCCCAACATTAGTCTTGTTCAGAAGAACACAGACGGAAATAGGTGCAGTTGAGAGAGATATTTTTCCTTCTTTGCTTTTTGTTTGCTTGTTTGTAAGACAGTGATTCTCTCGTTCTGTTTCTATACCTTTGAAAATAAAAACATAATCATGGAATGGTTTGGGTTGAAAGGGATTTGGTTTGAATTGCCAACAACTCTGTAACATCTTGAAAAAGTGCATTCAACTGCTACAACTTGAGCAAAAGGGAGACAAAAAAAGACCAATACTACATGGTGCTCATTCTGTTCCTGATAGAGACTTCCAGATATACAGATAACTGAAGCAAAGGCTACTGAGTTGCTCTGCCTTTCTGACTTTAGAAAACGTCTGACTGGCTGATTGCTGCTACATTATGCTAAGCCACACAAGTAAAGGAGCTCTCTTCTGTCATACTAGTGCTAATATCTTCTCTGTTATCTCTAAGGTGCAGGAAATACTATAAGCCATAATTTAAAGGTGAGATAATCTTTATGATGGAGGTACAAAACTACCTTCTTAAGGTAGAGAATTCTGTCTGCATCAAAGTCACAGCTTCTAACTGACTTCTCTACACAGTGGCTACACGTATCTGGGGCAAAAAGGGAACTTTTAGGAGGCTCCTGATATCAGCAATGCACTATCCAAACAAGCACATCTTCTAATGCAGCTGGGCTGTGTCAGTTTATCTTCTACATCCTTGCCAGTTATTCCTAACCAACTTTCTTATCATAACTACTTCTCCATATCACTTCTGTCTGTTGCAACATTATGGCCCACAGGCAAACAACTGAAATGTTTTAGCTCATAATTTCATGCATTTCTAATTTATTGTCTCACTTTAAATCTCCATTAAAATTAAAATAGAAGAAGTGGGGGAAAAAAAGCTCTTTGCATGCTTATTCACTAAGCAGCTTTCTAAGGTTCTTAGAGGTCTAATTATGATATGAAAACATGATTTCCAACTTTGCAGATGATACTAAATTGGAAGAGAATAAAAACAAATGAGGAATAATTAGGTAGTGCAGCCAATAAAAGAATTTAGATCATTTTATATTTCAGGAATAATAGATGGCAAATGCAGGGCTGTGCAAATAAATTGAGAATAATTAGCCTCACAGTGTGGCATAAAAAGTGGGATCCTGTTTAGAAAGACAAGAGGCTACAACACACTGAGATAAATTCTGAACTTTGATTGCAAAATTTGTGTATAAGATTCCCTTATGTGACTTGCTAGCAGTCTCAGTGGTACTCCCCTAGAAATGAGATAGAACTCAGTGTCAACAAAAAAAAACACCACTTGGCCTCTGGGAAAGGAAGGGCTAGATGGAATAGTCTGAGAAGAAGTTTCTTCCATGGCAAACTCACAGGATTGTATTAGCTAAATAATGGACCACAGGCTGTATTCAATCTGAAGGATGTCTCTGCCCAAACCGGTATCTTTCTCTGGGGGACAAAAAGAGAAAGAATGGGGAGAATACACCAAGGAAATGTTTTGTTTCTTTGCTTGAGTGCTCCTGCAGAAGAGCCACCTGACTGCGGCAGAAATGTGCCGCTCATTTGGAAAGAGCTCTAGGCTGATCAGGAACAGTCATTTTTTATTTCCTTACATTATGTTATGTTCTTTAATGTATTCAGGCCTGAAGTTAGAAAAGATTTCCAATAGTTGAGCTGGGAGGTTCCAAGAGAGCTGTCAGTGGGAACAATGGTGGGAAGATACCTTGCTGGTTTTAAAATGTTGCTTTATGAACCGTGACAGATTAAATGCTGAGATAGCTAGGATGGCAAGGGACATCACCCTAAGAGATCACCATGGTTTCCTACGCTGCTGCTTTCCGCTCTATATACTGCTGCTGCCTACTTCTCTTGACTGAAACACAACCTGTCAAAAACGCACTCCCTCTTCTGCATATATCAGCACATTAATTTTCAGCTGCGTGATATGGGATGTTCTTCTGTATCAACACAAGAAAAAAAAAGAGAGCCATTTTTTCTTTTTTGAAGATATGTGTGGGAATCCAGGGCTTCCCTCTGTCTGCCCTGGCAGGCCTGGGACCCTGGCAAGGGCTCAGGAACCCCCCTGTACAGAGCCCCGAGAGACACTGTCTGTGATCTCTGTCCATGGAAAAGAGTTTTCAATCTTACAGGATGAATTACAAGCTCTGAGTGTTTGATATAAGTAATAATTAAGTGTGGCACGGGTGCAAAAGTAAAATTTTAGGTTTCTAGATTAGGGGTTCAAAGGGGACAAGATGGAGGAAATTGGGTGTGTCTTGTCCTTTTCCTCCTTCTTCATGCCCTCCATGTTTCACTGTAGTGTTGGCATTTTTCTATTGGTTTAGGCTGGGGACACACTGTTCAACGTAGGTGACAGATATTGGCACATTATTGTAAATATAGCACACGTAGTTTCTGGTATATAATGTTTGTAACATCCCACTGAGGGCAGAGCCCCACACGCTGCCCTGCAGGACAGACCTACAACAGGGCAGCAGAACATGTTAGAGATAAACAGAATAAACAACCTTGAAAACAGCACAGATGAATTATGGCTTCTTCTTTGGCAGTGGGGCAGAAAGACAGAGACTTTTTACAATCTCGGAAACATCAATACCACAGATTCCAACAGATATGAAAATTCGTTCAGGAAACTGGGGTTTTTTAAATTTTTTTGAGTTGTCTGTTCATTTTGAAGGTGGGTGAAGATGGAAAATGGACAAATGCATGGGGGAATTAGGATCACTGCTGGTGAGTCAGTACTGCAATGATTACTGACGAAAGAATACTTTCACTGAAAACAGAATTAAATAGACCTCTCTAGAATAATGATGTCTAAAATCCACCATTAGTTCATGGAATTTGAGAAGTATTAGGTTGATCTGTTTGCCCATCAAGAGATGCCTTCACCTTGGGGGTGAAGATTTACCTTCCTAGGTCTTATTGTAAACTTTGAGCTTTTTTAACAATAGCAAAATAGTGACAAAAGCTTCATTTTAGGGCATTTATACATTTATTTATAGACATGTTTTCCATACACTAGGCCTGAGTTATTAGCCATCTTTCAAAGCATGCAAGTGAAAGGCCATTGAAATCTTACAGATGCAATGAAATGTATTTCAGCATTTCAGAGCTAAATGCCTGCATAATTTATGGCAGAGTGCACATAATTTCTATGTATGGCTATACCTAACACAGGCTCATTTCACATTTGAAATTCAATTCTTCCATCTGACTAATTGATTCATTTCCATAAATATGCTAAAATTTGTAATAAGAACGATGCTTTGCGGTAAGATATTGTTTTGGCCGGTACCCAAATTAACTATGAATATTTACTTTCAACAAAAGCCAGTGGGACCAACAGCAAATAATGAAAACATAGTGATTTATAATTTATTTTTACAATCCTTTTGTTACATGAGCAAAATTTCAAATCCTATAAACCATCCCCTTAAAATACAGTTATTAGTCTACTCAATCTCAATTTTCTGTTCTCTGCCTCCTTCTGCCCATTCCTTCCAGGAGCCCTCCCTGCTGGGATCTCTCTAGTTCTGTCTTGGGATGTAAGACAGTGAACAAGCTTCTGACAAGGGCTTTGATAGCTGCTATGTCCATGATCTTTCACCAGAAGAGTTGAATTAGGATGTTTTCAGGGAAGGTGGAAACTAGTTTGATTCCAGAAAGAATGATAAATCATTCCCAAAACCCTTGAACATATATCCTGAAGTCACCCAGGTTTCCAGAGCAAGGACCTTGTTTAAAACATACAAGCTCAGACCAAGGCAGTGTTCTCAGGAAGGGCTGATGAGGGTTGCAGTTCAGTTCCCACAAGTCCCATTAGGCCAAGTCATGCTGCTGCAGCAAGAAAGATGGGATTAACATAAAGTATGGAAAGTGATTTGTTAGTCTAGTGCAACTCTTGCATGGTCAGGCTTGGATGGAAGCACCTGCACTGGTGATGGACACTTCTACCAACTCTAGACTTTTGGGAGCATAGCCCAACCTTGGCACATCACCCTTCTCCCCAGCTGCATGTGTACAGCAGCTCTCCTCCTGCCTGACCATTAGTCTGTGGAACTGATGCCTGGCATTCGGGGAAACAGGCAGGATAGGCCTCAGGTACCTTTAGGATCAAAGATATTCATTTATAAATAATATCAGTTTCAGATTAGCATGATTTTAAGTGTATGAGAGGTAACTTAAAGGCTGTGACTATCATTGAGCCCTCTATGTCCCATAGCTCTGTAATAGAGTTCAGGGACAAGCACACTTTCCCCTGAAACCCATCAGCTTCCCACCCTTAGCTCTGTGCTATTGCCTTGCGCTGTTCTAGCCCCAGATGTGGCAGGAAGAGGCAGCAGAATCAGATCTGCCCTCCAAAAGGATTCTGTAGTCTTTCATAGCCACAAGGAGAGCCTACCATAGAAAATCTACCTTCAAATTCATCAGCTGTGCTATGAGAGTCCTCATGCTATCTCCCAGCCACTTAGGAAACCTTCCACCAGGTATCACAGCCGCTGGAAGTTGCCACACACACACCAGGAAGCAAACACCCTGTGAACTTGTACTGCAACAGCTCCCAGGGGGGCTGTGCCCATGCCCACTGCACCACTGAACACCTGGACCATGGCAGCAGCAAGAGGCCAAGAGCCCAAATCCCAGTGCTTGGCACCAGGAGCCCACAGCTTTGGCTGCCATCACACTGCCTCCCAGTAAATCCCAGCTGTGCCCTCCTCTGCACCCTGGCTGTGTTCTTGCCCTTCCTTTTCTGCAGAAGATATGCACAGTTTTTTGTTTGTTTGTTTGTTTTTCTTTTTTTATCTCCAGGAAGTTTTATTGGCCCAAGAATTAATCACGACACTTAATTAAATTTTGTTAGTGATATATACATAAGTCTTTAATTTATTTGTTGTTGAGAAAAGCAACTCTGTGTAAATAAAAATAAAAATTAGTAGAAGGTTAAAAAAAGCCTGGCTTGGTCTGCAGAATTTTCAGTGCTCCAGGATTCAGCAAAAATAGAATGAAGCACTTACATCTTCAAAAAGCATTAAGCCAAGTACTTCATCAAAGATTAAACTGCAGAAATATGAAATAACTGAAAAGTTGGCTC